CTATTAACCTACATTTTCCTCCAGGACTGCCGGACTACATTTCCCAATATTATTGGTGCAAACATGCACCATGACTGCTGACTCCTACCCAGCATTATCTATCAACCTATCTAGAAAATGTGTGATGTCCTCAACCTTTACACCAGTCAGGCAAGTCACCCTGAGGTCAAAACACTTGTCACAGACCCCACTCTCTATATACCTAATGATCAAACCACCCACTACCAGAAGCCCTCCTCCTCCCAGCACCCCCATGGGTATCCTTAGTAAAGAGGGTATCGGTCAGTGGCCCAAGGAAGGGGTCCCTTTTAAGGGATCACATCTCTCCACCTCAGATTGATGTCCTTTGACCTTGAAACTCTCACTACACACAACAGCAGAAGAGCTGTCAGCACAGGAGTGGGACTGTTCTGGTACCTCAGCTTTTTCAAGTCAACAACTGTAGCCTCAAGGGAACGATCCTGCTCCCTGGGAACCATGAGTTCCATGCAGCGACCACACACCCACAATTTCCACCCAGTGGGTAGATAATCGTACATGTAGTACTCTCTGAAAAATACTGGATAGCCCGCACTCCCCAGCTAGCTTTCTACCTTCATAACTGGTTAGTAGTTTAAAAATACTACAATGATGCAGGGTCCTCAGGCCTGATCTCCAGGCTAAGAGCCACAGACCAAGAACCCTTTGACAAGAGCTTCAGCTTGCACCAAAGGCTCACACCTTTGCCTAGGAGGAGCCTTACAGTTCAGAGGCCCACAGTCTCCGCCTCCCAGCAGCAACAGCAGAGGGTGGGTCCTGCAGTCAGCTCCAGGCAAACAAACCTTCCTCAATGAACAGTAGACCAGAGAAAAGACCCAAACAGACTCAGACAAAAACACCACTCTCCAGCAGGTTGTAAGCACCCACTCACCCTCAAACTCTGTCCTCTTTCAAAGCAACCTCAACAAATGCTTCTCAGTGGTTCAGATTCAGCAGTTTGGGAATGGCAACCCTCCCCCCTCAACTCTCACCTTCCTAGCAGCTCTCTCCAGGGTTCTACATGTTATCGCAGGGGGTCACTCTGTTGAGAAGACCATGTTCAGCAGAATGATATGTTCATATGGTGAACTAATGTGTTGGTGTGGTGTTCATGACACAGCATTCACCGTAATTCACCCCCGAAAACTGGCACTTTGAGCTGCCCCCCCCCCCATTATCATTAATTGGGCCCGAGTTTATTGTAAATTCTTGGTTACGCTATTCTTTGTTGTGCCCTTTTTTATACATAGTTAATAAGGCAAAAATGGTAATCTTCTTTTTGTCTAGATTTCTTGTCCTTCATTTCTATTCTAGTATCTTGGCTGCAATCCTACGTTCTTTTGAGCTTGGTAGGCTTTGGTTTATATAAATATACGTAGGGTAGCAGTGTTATTTTTTCCCCCAGCAGCCGGTTTATGAAGTGGGCAGGGCCAGCCATTTTATGAGTTTGGAATCAGTTTCTTCTTCTCCTGGAAAAGATACCTTATTTGCAAAACCTTTCATATTGAACTTGAGTAGTCCAATAATAATATAGACAGCATTTACAAATCTTCAAGGAAACATTTTCCACACCTTGGTGTTGCAGCTGTTTCCTGGCAGGTTGAATTGCCAGTTGATGCTCTGATGTTGTGGCACCCCTTCCACAAAAGAGCATTTCTTTCAGGGTATTTAATTTTGAATTCGATTCTGACTTGCAAAAACATGTGTTTCACACTTCCTTTGAAAAGGGGGTGTGCAGCCATTTCATCATGTACTTTGTCAGTGACAGAACCTCCTCTTTTTAATTTTTTTGGTTTTTTTGCAAATGCACAGTAATGTTATAACATCATAACATTGTCAAAAAACAGTTGGATGTAGAATGGAGAAAAGCTCATTGTTGATTGGCCTTTAGGATTCCCACCATGAGGTGGGCGGTGTGGAGGTTAATTTAAAGTTTAAATACATGGCTTGCCACAAGGAGCCTCCATTTTGATCTGTGATCTTGGTTTTCACTATTGGCGGAAGTCTGGATTCTAGCCAGCACATTGGAAAGCTTTTGTGATGTTGCAATTCTCTGGTCTGCACTCAGTGCCCATGTATGATGGACCCCTTCCACTTCCCTCCCTCAAAGGCTAGATTTTCCCTCTGTTTTTCCGTCTTTCCACTGACTGAGCAGCCCTGGCAATGTGTTTTCTTCTAGCCTGAAGAAACTTTGGCTGTCCCACCCTGTCAGTAAGATATATTTTGTCTATTTGCTCAGCCCAGGAACCTTAGCATAAAAGTATGCTAAATGGAAATAATCCACATGTTTAGTTTCCATAATTTTCAAATCAATTATAAAATTTCATTATTTTCAAATGTTTAAAAGACTGATGTGTCATCGAAAACACACAGAGAGTGATGGGGAAGGGGGGGATGAAGAAATAAAACAAGTGTGAGGTGACAAAACCTACCCACAAAAACATAAAGTGAATAAGGAAAGGAAAGGAACTTCATGCATGGGCAATTGCACAGAGAAGGCTTTACTGAACCTCACTACTCATTTTGTCCCAGCGTTATAACACAGCAATATTATGTTAAAAAAAATCAGTGTCATAATGCAGTCAAAATTGCCCTTAAAAATCCGAATATTATTCAGTTGACTTGGGGAGGTAGGATGCAGGATGTACACACAACACATGGGTGGCAGGAAACAAAATTCAATTTTAGGAATTTCACACTGGAAAAGTGTGAGTCAAAACCAATGGGGGAGGAACTACAGGAAAAGTGGATCTGAAAAACAGGGCGACATGGCAGTAAATTCAGAGCTACCCCTGGAGCAGCCAAATGCTTTGTGGAAAGCTTTACAAATTTCATTGACTTAAGAAACAGTCTCAGGAAATGTTCTTTGTTTCCTGATAACTGCTGGTGTGTATGTGTTTGTTTAGAAACTGATCACATTTTGTTGGGATGGAAGGTTGCAGAAGGTGAGCTGCAGAGTCAAATTCATTAATGCTCAAGGGAAAAAATATATATTCATGATGATAAGGGTTCAGGAAATGATTGTGCTGATTTTAGAGTATCAAAATCTGCTGATTATGTAGTCATCTGACTTAAAGAGCTCAGTGTTTGAGCAGCCCCCGGTCATATTTGGAACAGAGCGGAAATAACTTGCAATGCCATTCATGAGCAATTTTGAGTCAGTCATAACGAACTGAACTTTTGGGGTTGGAACATAACAAATGGAGTAAGGTTGTGAGGGATTTTGCCTTCTTTCTCTTCCCACTGCAGGCCCCCTTTTCTCTCTGAGAATCTGTTCCTGAAGGCTGTGGAGCCTGAGGGGGAGGGGGACTGCAGCCAGAAGTGGAAAGTGACAACCCTCCCCCAACATTTTTTTGTGTTAGTCAAGCAAGAACTTACGCAAGATATGGAAGTGTGCTTTCTGCCAATGCCCCCATTTGGCTGTAGTTCTCTGTGCTGCATCCCATGCCATTGCAGGGAGCCTGGCCCTGAAGCAGGGATCCCCAGTGTGATGCCTGTGAGCATCATGCTGTCTGTCAGCACCTTTCCTGGAGCCTACCAAGTGTTTTTAGAAAGTGGGCTGGGTCAGGTGGGGCTTTGCCCAGCAGGGCTTCTGATTGGCCGTTGGAGATTTGATTGGCTGTGCAAATTATTTACAACATTGCTTTGACAGCAGCTGCCACCACAGCACAAGGACAGCACACCACAGCACATTTTGTGACAGAAGGTAAGCTATGCAGTCATTTTGTGGCTAGCTCCACTTCCTGTGACATCCATTTTGTGGCTGTGCCCACCACCCTGTGTCAGAATTCCAAAGGTTTGCACAGGCCCCAAAAGGTTGGGTATCCGTGCCCTAAAGAGTCACATTTTGGAAGCACAGAATGCTATAGTAAGAGGACAGCAGAAATACCTAGTGTGAACTCTCTGTGTTCGTAGTTCTTTAGGATCCAACCCAGGGAAAAATGTGCTCCTGAAATCTTTTTCTGAGAACAATAGGTTACAATAAAACTAATAATTCACTCAAACAAATTAATTCTGCATGTGTTTCCATTGTTTTGTCAGTAAATGGATACTGCAATTGAAGCTTTCTTTGTTAAAGGGAGAGAAAACACACATTTCCTTTTTAATAATCAAGAATAGATTTAATGTTTGGTTTCAATTTCCACCTATTTTTTAGTCGAGTGAGGTGCTACAAACATTCAGTAGTGTCTGGACTTAAATAATCATATAGTTGGGGAAAATCCAATATGTATCAAATGTATAATATACACACTTTGATAAATCAATGCAAAATAATCAATAAAAATCACATTATTAAGGCAGGTTAGTGCTTCCTCAGCTGTTTGCATGTGCACTCTTAAGTGAAGGTTTATGTCACCCCATAGAATTTAATCAAATCAGTGGAGGGAAAAACATCATTTCTTCATTCTAATATCTCCAAGATGGTGGTTTTAAATGTGAAGCCAATACATTTATTGCTGCATATACTTCTCTAACCAGATTTTAAAGAAATTAAGCTGGATTTATTTTTTTTAGAAGTAATGGATATTTGCAGTCAGTGAAACATTGACATTCATATAGAAACACCCAGTAACTAGATTTGCCTTTTCTATGGAACTCTGTTGAAGATGTTATATTGTGAAAGATATCAAATGCTTCCCACTTGTATTTAGTGTATGTTTCTAGATGTGGACAGCAATATTCCATTCTCTAAGCAATGTGAAGTGTAGTATTTAAGACAAAAGAGAAGAGACAATGGTTTTCAAAAAGTAATCTGAAGTGCATGCATGACTTGGCCAGGTATGAGACTTTTGCTCTAGACAAATACAGGACAAAAGCAATATACGCCTTCAGTTTATCATAAATAGATTGTGATTATTTCTGAAGCGTCTGGAAGATGTGTGCTTATAGTGTCACTTATTAAATTCCACACAATATCTTTCAAAAGGTTCTTTTCTTTGTTTTTGTATTTGTTTTTTGTTTTTGTTTTTGTTTTCAACTAGGACCCCTACTATGGCTGGTGGCCTATTTTCTATTGACAGAAACTACTTTGAAGAGATAGGAACTTACGATGCAGGAATGGATATCTGGGGTGGAGAGAATCTTGAAATGTCTTTTAGGGTAATTCACCATTTTACTTCCTTTTCTGACAACTGGCATGGTTATTCTGTAAAAATGTTGACACTTACAGTGGGTTCATTTTGCTCATTTTATGTAAAATGCAAGTTTTAGTTTGGTCATTTCCCCCCTTCCATTGCCTTCAATGTTTTACAATGTTTTAGAAATCTTTGGTACTTAAAAATATCATTGAGATATGCATAAATTGATATGCTGGCTCAGGTAATGAAAATGACAATTGATATGAATGAACAGTAAATATACAGCATAGAGAATGGTCATGCATTTTAAAAAAAAGCAGGAGCTTCCAAATGTTTTTGTAATTAATTCAGAAACTTATTAATGGGATTTCTTTTATCATGCTTTATTTGAGATTATGACCAGATCTTTGACTGGACTTCCTTTATTTAGAATGACTTTCAAACATATGAAAACAGAAAACTGATTTTTTAAAAAAACAAACAAAACAATATGTATGATGCCAGAATGTGATGAATGACTGAACAAAAGTGTGGTAGAAAAATTGGGATTGGTTGACCTACTTGCCCACTGGCAGGACAACCAGCCTCATGTTTGCTGCTTACAATGTGTACAACCTCATAAAGGCAGACCAGCCTTGCTGTGCATGTATTTACATGCATTTGCCCAGTTCTCATAAAAGGACGTAGATGGATTATGAAGACTGAGTATACATATGGTACACATGATGGGGGGGGGGGAAGTAACCAATCTATGCTCACATTGATGATACTGTACACACAGATGGGTGAGTATATAAGTAAGGGGCTTCCTTCAGCCAGAGCAAGTTGGAAAGGAATGGTTGGGCCAACTCATGGTTTTTATCATAGCTTTCTTTTGAAGAAAATACTGTTAATGTGTCTTTCCCTTACTGTAGTTAAGACTAGAATTCAGTAATATTTATGACAAATCGACATGATGCCAGGATAGAGAAACTTAACCAATATCAGTTTTTTCCTAGTGAACTTTCATATTGTTGACAAATGGATTAGTCAAAGATATATAGTTTATTTATTCAGTAAATTTTTATCCCAGTCTTCCTCTAAATAGCTCAGGTCTGTGTACTTCATCATTCTCCCCTTCTCAGCTTCATCCTCATAACACCCTGTGAGGTAGATTAGCCTGAAAAATAGTGACTGGTCACTTAGTCATTTTCCTGTCAGAGAGGGGATTTAAACCTGGGTTTGCCAGATCCTTGTCTGTCTCACTATCTACTACACCACACTGTCCCTCAGTTTTCTTATTGAGTGCTATAACTTGATAGGTTGTGTTAATTTTGTGTCTTTGTGCTTTGTCCTCTCTGACTGCCCTAATACAACCTGTGGTAGAATATTATCCAAGCAACTCATAAACAACCCATTTTCATCGGGACACAAGGGGTATATTTCAACATCATCTTAATTTTCAGGAGTCTGTAAACCATGTACTGTGTGAATGAGTGATATTTTGTAGTGTTTCTTATCCTACCCTTATACACCTCATAATAATACTAAGGGTTCTTCAAATGCATTTTCTTAGCAGCTCAGCACTGGTGAGAAAAAAATCTCTTATCTCCATCCTTGAACTCAGAAGGAGACAGATGTCTCATTTTCTGCCAGTCCTCTGGCACACATAGAACAATTGCAGGACAGAGTCGTGGTTATTGTCTTATTGTGGATTGTCTTGGGTTATGCTCAAAAGTAGCATGAGAAATTGAGTAGCCTCAAACCATAGTGTCACTTGACAAGCAGATCCTTTCCCTCAAAGGTCAAGCAGGAGAGTTAACTTGCCCAGTATAAGAATTCTTTGTGGCCAGAGTGAGACAGGAGGCCACCCCAGTCCTTTGGAAAGCCAAGGTCCTTCATTCACCACATACTAGTTGGGGCACTCAGTGGTGAGAGAAATTCTCATTGCTTCCAAGTGTGTCCCATCATGGCACAATTTGGATCGGAAAGACTTTTCCATGTAAACTTTCTGATTGGCTGTGGCATTACATGGGAATCAAAGGCATTAAGGCACAGTTCAGCCAAAGCTGAACATGTTCTTCAGGCCCATTTATATCAACTGGAAAATAAAACACATGCTCAAATGTCTGATTTGAAAGCAGTGGGGAGAGAGATAGTGTGTAGTGCCTAAGGACAGGTTCCCAACGCTTATCTACCAGAACTAGCAATGAGGAGGAATGGCTCATTTGTTCTTTAACAAGACAAGCTTTCTCCTCTCAGAAAATGTATCTCATCCTGCATCTTATTTATAGTTTCTCCTGTGCTGAAATGCTTCAATGGTTTGAGTTTATATCTTATTGTTTCTTTTTGCTAATGTTTTGTTGAGGTGGTTGCAGCACCGCATGCTTGCTACATTTAGAAAGGCATACAAAACAGTTTTATTCCAGAGACCACTTGATGAAGAGTAAATTGTTCCAGCAGATTTGGCAGTGTTTGTTTTGTGTTTGTGTGTTTCCTAAAAAATTGAGTGCTTTTTAATTTGCAGTTTGTGCATTTTAATCTGTGTTTTAATGTTGCTAATTGGGCGGGTACATTTTCAGTCTGAGTTAATGAGGCAGGATATACATGTTTTAAATAAATACATAATTTTGCTTACTTTACTCTTAAATAAACTTAGTAAATGGCATTTTAACATAGTTTCTCAAAAATGTAGAAAATAGCAAATTAGCCTTGACAAGGGAAATGTAGGTCATGTTTTGATGCATTCATAAGGTAGCATTGGAAATTATTTTTAAAAGCAAAAGAATAAAGGTCTAGTAATAATAATAGAACTGCGGTGGCTCAAGTGGTTAAGACGCTGAACTGCAGGCTGTGGAAGGTCAGTAGTTCAGCAGTTCGAGACCCAAGTGTGCCGCATGATGGAGTGAGCTCCCGTCTCTAGTTCCAGCTCCTGCCCACCTAGCAGTTCGAAAGCAAGAAATTGCAGGTAGATAAATAGGTACCACTTCGGTGGGAAGGTAACAGCGTTCCGTGCGCCTTGGCGTTTAGTCATGCCGGCCACATGACCACGGAAATGTCTTCGGACAGCGCTGGCTCTTCGGCTTTGAAACTGAGATGAGCCCCGCAACCCTAGAGTCGGACTCGACTGGCTTTCGAGCAAGGGAACCTTTATCTTAATAGAGAATGCAAGCACAAGACATCTTAATCACCCTAGATTATTTTACGAATTCTTGAATAGATCTAGGTATTTGTAATAGGGCAAAATTGTTCTCTTCAAATCTAATGTGGTACTCTACAGGTTGAACTTGATACATGAATCTTCCTATTGAATTGCTTAATGTGTGGTTATAAAATCTGGAGCATCCTACTATTGAATTTTGGTTGGACTTCACAGATTCATTGTTCTGTGAATGCCTGTCTGACAATAAACTTTATAAGATAAATATGTATTACTTTAAGAACAAGATGAGTGTTGCTATCTTTGTAGCATGTGTGGAAGATGATTAGAATGTAAATATGTACCTATGTATTGACACAAATAAGTAAGAATCAGCTATATAAAGGGGATATATGTGCAAGGACTCCTGCCAACCTAGCAATTTGAAAGCTAGAAATTGTGTGTAGATAAATAGGTACCGCTTCGGTGGGAAGGTAACAGCGTTCCATGCGCCTTAGGGTTTGTCACGCCGGCCACATAACCACAGAAATGTCTTTGGACAGCTTTGGCTCTTTGGCTTAGAAACAGAGATGAGCGCGCCCCCTAGAGTCAGATATGAGTGGCTTTCGAGCAAGGGAAACCTTTACATATGTGTAGGTAGAGTTTTATCCTTTGAGTCTGATCAAATGATTTGCAGATGTGATTAATAAAGAGTGATTAACACATGGAATTCACTGCCACAGGAGGTGGTGGCGGCTACAAGCATGGACAGCTTCAAGAGGGAATTGGATAAACATATGGAGCAGAGGTCCATCAGTGGCTATTAGCCAGAAGGTATAGATAGATAGGCAAGTGATGCTCTGTGTTCTTGGTGCTTGGGGGGGGGGCAACAGTGGGAGGGCTTCTAGTGTCCTGTCCCCACTGCTGGACCTCCTGATGGCACCTGGTATTTTTGGCCACTGTGTGACAGAGTATTGGACTAGATGGGCTATTGGCCTGATCCAACATTGGCTTCTCTTATGTTCTTAAGATGCAAGGATTGTGATCATTTCCAAGTTGCCTTTCCCCTCTGCTGGCAGTCCTTTCCACTCCCAGGAAAGTTTATTCCCAGGGCCGTGGTACCTATGTGGACTAATAACCAGGAGGCTTCAGTGGGGAGGAAGAACGGAGCAAAATCACTTTCTTCTCCCTTTTCTGTCAACAGACCTGTACTGATGGAAAAGACAGAAAGTGCCCTTACTTTCCTACCTCAGCCTTCTGATGCTGATGTACACGTGGCTCTTCTGCCCTTCAAATCATGTGTCAATCCCCTGTCACCAAGTTTTGAATGTTCAGAGTTGTAGCAACATCTAGTCAGGAGAGAATGTTGAATTCTGAGGGGGGAGGAGAAATTGAGAGTGAACTGACAACTCCAAAGTTTCTTCGGAAGAGAAAGAGTATGGCTGCTGAGAGGATCAGTGGGGTAGAGAGTCTTTCTCAGGTAGAGCAGACTGGTCGTTTGATTGGTAAGTTTACTAAGGGAAAGTAATCTTAATTAAGAGTGAGTCATCTTCTGAGGGAAGTAGACTGGAGACCTCTGTATGGATGTGACTCTGTGGTCTGGTATATTTGAAGGACATGAAATATTCTTATTCAGTGATTAAGTGAAACAGTTGTCAGTCAGGGTTGACAGTACATTTAAGCTTTGAAGTGATTTGGGTTATCTTGTATTTAAGCACACTTGTAGCAGTAATTCTCTGAAAAAGGAGGGGAAATCATTCTAAAGCTGTGATGCTATGTTGTTACAGTATATTCATACATCAGCTGTTTTTAAACATAGTGTTAAACCCTACTATGAAAGCAAATAAATAAATTTATTATTTTCTAATCTTGTCTCCTGTGCCTCAGTCACATTTACAAATAAT